CAAGTGTTACAAATGTCAATACATTTTTTTGTAAATTGAAATCAGCGTTGTGTTTTTCAAAGCAATGAGCAGATGTAAACATGATGATGCTGGAGTAAATAATGTGATGAACCTCAAGTTCTCCAGGGAGAAAAAAGGCCCAATGGCTCCAGTCATCCCTCACAGCCCAGGTTCTCAGCGTTTTGATAATCTCTCTCCCTCCTTTGGACCCTCTCCAGTCTGGAAGGGCAGCAGGGGTGAACATATCACGGCAGGGAGAACCACCCATAGAATTTCAGTGGAAGCACAAACTTAGGCTCAGCTAATGTGACCTTGGCTCTTGCTGAAGTTCGGGACACATCTAGAGGAAGTTAAAAGGGTCATGGGAAAAGAATAATTTGGGGGGGGGTGGGGTAAGGAAACAAAAAGAGAGAGGAAAAAAATTACCTCTAATGCTACTTTTCTACCAAGAGTTTCTGACTGTGGAGCACTGTTACAGCTGGCATCACAGAAACAGGAGTAATTATTTCTGCCGTGAGAACTTTACTGTGCTAACTCTGTTCTCCATTCAGGTTCAGTGTCTTGTTTGAAAATCATCCAGTTTTCCTTCTGCCCAAAAGGGACTGGTGATATAAGCTGTGGTTATCAGTTTCCCTCGGATAGAGCAGGGTAAGTCTCYTCCTGACTGACCTGAGTGGGAAGGGATCTATAAATGCATAATTCCAAAGGACCTCTGCCACTCTCTGTGCTAAGTATAGACAATTGCTTACAAACCAAAGACCTTTCTTCATCACTGCTTCAATCTGAATATAATGTGTGTTAGTCTTACAGAAACAATTTAAAGATAAAAGCAGTTTAAACTGCTTCTGTCCTCAGATTATCAAAATACCAGGGTCTTTGCCCTTTTTAAAAATAAAAGCAAGCACAAAAAGGATTGTCTGTTCTCTCTACATGCAGAATGTAGACGTTTCCCCTCTTTGAGAAGTAAAAGAATATTTGCATTTGTCTTAATAGGTTTTTAAGAAGTGAAATTAAAGTATTGACATGTCATAATTTGAGGGACCAACCTTTTTGGGGCAAGGATCCATATTTGCCTGAAGGAAAAGAGCGTGACCTAACATTTCACAGTTTTACACGTACACAGTTTGTGCTCACCACTTGAAAATATCATTTCAGCTTTCTTTGTCTTGTTCACAAAGACCCCTTGTCACTGTTTTGGAATGGATATTCTTATTCTGAACAGGAAGATAAGACTCATATTGTTCAAAAGTAATCCGAAACCCAGCAATTAAAATGTACTTCCTAGAAAACAATGTCCTTTTAAAATTTTTTATTGTTATCTGAGCTAAACAAAAACAATATAATGAAAAGGAAAAAAATGCCCCAACCCTATGGTTTGCACAATCTATTAATTATGTTGTCATTAATAATTTGATTACAGGAAGATCAGAATTTCCCTTGGCACTATTAAAATGGCACAGCACAAATTCTGTGAGACACTTTGGAATCGGGACATGGATGTCCTCCAGCAAGCACCGAGTTAGGCTTTGAATTCAATGATTCTGCAGTGATTTGTACCAGCTGAGTTTCTAGCTCATTGTCTTATATAATTGAGTTGTGCCTGTAATTTCCATTTTAATTTATTCCATCTTAGAGTTTCCTTGATATGCCTTTGTGAAAAAATCAGCTGCTAATCAGCATAAATGCAAAGTTATCACTTTCACCACTGGATTTCTGGGAATCTTGTGTTGTTCTAATGTTTAAATATTCTAATGTTTAAATGCCTAATATTCAAATGATTCAGTATTCACTCCAGATCTTTCAACAACCTGTGTTCTGTAAAGGAAGAGCCCAAGAACACTGAATAAGTACTAATAACTGTTTTGGAAAATCTGTTAATGAACAGAGATATGCTCTGTGTGGTGACCTTTGATGATGACCCTTATTTTATCTTTCGTGAGATAGAATGACAATTGTTTGCCCGTTTCTTTTCAAATGCAGATAATGTGAATATTCTTCCCTTTTATCATAATTGCAGGGTAATAAGAGAGAGTAGACAGTTCTAAGTTTCTCTGTCTGATAAAAACATCAAACAGAAAGTCCAGATTCAAACTGGAATCCAAAGATTGGAGAAGGTTTAAAATACATAGCCATTGTTGCAGAGCCAGAGTAACTTCAGCCTAGCTAAGGATGAAGGGATCCCTGTGTTCCATGCTGCTTGCCCAAAACAGCAGGATTGTATAAGTTTTGGATGCAGAATATTCACTGGACAGAGAGTATTGGCCTGGTTTTGTTGTTTAGTATTTTAAATTGTATACATTTTGATAAAATTTAAATTTTCTAGAATGTAAATTAATACAATGCAAATGTAATATAATTTAATACAGTTTATTACAATTTAAATTTAAACGAATGCAGCTTTTGTTTGTGAAAGCTAGAGGGCTGGTGTCCTCAGCCAGAGCCGACTCACGGGATGGACCCTGCGCATCAGGTGACTGACACCATCGGTGTTATTTAGCTAAAAACAGATGACTGAGGTGCCTGTGCCAGTTGTTTATAACCTTGTGTAGGTATCTGCAAGAGATGTATCATTTTAAGAAATTTTTCCAATTGACATGAACAGGGTTATGTTTGTAGAATATTTTAAGGGAAAACACTCGCAGCTGAGGCCTGGCCCTGGCTGGTTGGGAAGCGTGCCATCAGATCCAGGAGTTGCTGTGCTAAAAATTTAATCAAGTCACTTTGACTTGATGATTTGGGCCTATAAAAGCTGGATCCACTTTCAGGGGTAATTTGGACGACCTCACCTAGAGACTTATGCACTGTGCAGGATTTTCCCAGTGCCAGGACGGATTCTCCCGATCCTCGCTGTGAAATGCGGTTCCTCAGTGACTGCGGACTCTGGATGATGGTAAAGTATTTAGGCCACAGGCAATAGATCTTTCACAATCCTTTCTCTCATACAACAATTATTAGGTGTGTTATCTTGCTTACTTTTGCTTGTTGCTAGAACCAATAGTGTGGTTTTATTGGATGCATAATTTTACTTTTGCGCTGCCTTAATATTCATAGTAAAATATGACCATTTTTTCCATTGGTGTCTGTGTCCTTTAAATCATCCCCATCAACTGGCAGAACAAGGGCCTAAATCCTACTGGAATCAACATTTCTTAGACATGTTGGGATTTCCTGAGGAGTGGCTTGTGTACCTCATCTTTTTCAACAATTACAATTGCCCATGGGTGTAAAAAGAGGAACCTAACCAAGTATTTTGAGTTTCCTGAGAGGAACAAAGCTCTTGGACAACAAATAGTATTCCCATGGAACTAGCAGAGTAAAAATTCCAGCAAGCTGAAGACACCTTCATGAATGGATTATTGGGTTTATACTTTTGCCTGTGATGGTCTTGTAGGTCCAGATGGTCTTATCAGCCCTATTTCTGCATATTTCTGGCAACCAGGGTAATCCTGCTTGAAACTGTGAGGAAATGTTTTTGGAAAGCAGAATTTGATTTCTATTTTTCTCCTTGGGGCAGCTTCCTTTATAACATCAGCTGAGCCTCTCTCAAGCCTGACATCTCTGATTTTTGCAGCAAAAAAATTAAAGGCAGACAGGGAGACACTGGCACTTCCAGGCACGCGGGTTTCTCCGGTGCCAGCTGTGAGTGGGAATCAGAATAAAATCTCCATAAGATCTCAATTCCATAGGAAGATTCCCTTCCTTTTTGCCGTGGTCCTTGCAGCTGTATGGGGGTTGGGCTCGGAATTAATGTGCGCATGAGCAATTGATATGATGTGTGGGATGSAGCTGGACTGGGCAGCTGCTGWGGGATTGGATRGATGAAAAGCMTTTACCAATTGGAGTCTGGAACGTAATGTATGAGAGTTTTTCTGGTTATGTAATCTGTCTAGAACTTCACGGATTGGTTCATTTCTCAATSCCGGGTAGAGATAAGAGATTCCTATAAAAAGGGAACAGGGAGCGCGGTCAGTTCAGAKAGCTGAATATCACTACAGAAGAAGGAGCTGTTAAATCACTATATCTAAGAGAGCTTGAAATCAGAAGGCTTAATAAAGAAGAAACCTGGACCTGCCTGCGTGTGTTGTTTTCCTGCGGGGTGCTGCGGAGCGGGGTATCCAATAC